GGCACTGACCTAAGGATAGACATACAGACTAATGGAATAGAATTAAGAGTTCAAAAATAAACACACAGATTTATGGCCATTTGATTTTCAACAAAGAAGTCAAGACAATTCAATTGGGGCAGAAGAGTCTTTTCAACAAACAATGTTGGGACAATCAGATATCCATGTACAAAAGAATGACATTAGACCCCTACATATATACAAAAAGTTAACTCAAAATGGATCGAAGACCTAAATTTAAGATGTAAAACTATAAAACTTTTACAAGAAAACATAAGCATAAATTTTAGTGACCTTGGATTAAGCCTCTTAAATATGACACCTTAAGCACAAGCAACCAAGGTAAAAGTAGATGAATTGAATGTCGTCAAAATTAAAAAGAACACCATCAGAAAACTGAGATGACAATTCACAGAACGGAAGAAAATATTTACAAATCATATATCTGATAAGCATCTAGTAACCAGAATACATAAAGAACTCTTACAATTCAACAATAGAAAGAAAAATAATTCAACTTTAAAATGGGCGGGGGGAGGGGAAGTAATAGCTCAGTGGTAGAGCGCATGCTCAGTGTGCACAAGGTCCCAGGTTCAATCCCTAATACCTCCATTTTTTTATAAATGGGCAAAGGATTTGAATAGATATATATCTAAAGGAGATATGCAAATGACCAATAAGCACATGAAAAGATATTTAATATCATTAGTTATCAAAAAACATAAACTAAAACTGCAATGAAATATCAGTTCATAACAACTAGAATTGCTATAATCAGAAACAGATAATAACAAATGTTGGCAAGGGTGTGGAGAAACTGAAACTCTCATACATTGATGGTGCGAATGTAAAATGGTACAACAACTTTTGAAAACAGGCTGGTCATCTCTTAAAATTGCAAGCACAGTGACCATATGACCCAGCAATCTCACTCCCAGGTATATACCCAGTATCTAGCTAGTAGAATTAGAAGTATATGTTCACTCCAAACATCACATACAAATGTTCATAGCAACACTATTCATATTATCCAAAAGGTGAAAACAGCCTAAATGTCCATCAACTAATGAATGGATAAACAAAAAGTGTTATAATGATACAGCAGAATATTGTTCAATCATAAAAGGAACGAAGTAGTGATATATGGTATAACATGGATGAACTCTGAAAACATTATTCTAAGGGAAGGAATTCAGACACAAGAGGTCACACTTTTCATGATTCCATTTATATGAAATGTCCAGAATAGGCAAGTCCAGACACAGAAATCAGATTAGTAGATAAGCAGGTGAAAAATCCCAAAGGTATTTTTCACAGACATAGAAAAAGCAGCCCTAAAATTTGTATGGAAATACAAAAGATCCCAAATAGCCAAAGCAATCTTGAGAGAAAAGAGTAATGCTGGAGGCATCACATTTCCTGATTTCAAACTATACTACAAAGCTACAGTAATAAAAACAGTGTGGCAATGGTATAAAAATAGACACATAAACCAATAGAACAGGATCAAGAGCCCAGAAATAAATCCTTACATATATGGTCAACTTATATTTGACAAGGGAGCCAAGAATACTCAATGGGGAAAGGATAGTCTCCTCAGTAAATGATTTTGAAAAACTAGATAACCACATTCAGAAGAATGAAATCGGACCGTTATCTTATACCACTCACAAAAATTAACTCAAATTGGATTAAGGATTTAAACATAAGACCTGAAACCATTAACTCCTAGAAGAAAACACGGGGTTGACTTCTTGACATTGGCCTTCACGACAATTTTTTGGATATGACACCAAAAGCATAAGCAAAATAGCAAAACTTAAGTAGAACTACATCAAACTGAAAAGCTTCTGCACAGTGAAAGAAACAATCAACAAAATGGAAAGACAACTTACAGAATGGGACAAAATATTTTCAAATCATATATGTGATAAGGAGTTAACATCCAAAATATATAAAGAACTCAGAGAACTCAACAGCAAAAAACAAACAAGCAAAAACAGTCTGATTAACAAATGCACAGAGGACCTGAATACACATTTTTCCAAAGAAGACATACAAATTGCCAAGAGGCACATAAATAAAATGTTCAACATCACTAAACATCAGAGAAATGCAAATCAAAACCACAAGGAGCTATCACCTCACACCTGTCAGAATGGCCATCATCAAAATGACAAGCGATAACAAGTGCTGGCAATGATGTGGAGAAAAGGGAACCATCATGCACTGTTGGTGGGAATGTAAATTGGGACAGGCGCTATGGAAAACAGTACGAAGGGTCCCCCCAAAATTAAAAATAGAACTACCATATGATCCAGCAATCTCACTTCTGGGTATATATTCAAAGGAAATGAAAACAGGATCTCAAAGAGATATCTGCGCCGCTCTCCCATATTCACTGCAGTATTATTCACAACCTGCTCAAGTCCTCATTAACTAGAAAGAGGCAGAACTGGGAAATGAACCCCTACATGTATAGAGTGTAAGATGTGTTTGTGTGTGTGTGTGTGTGTGTGCTACCTCTCCACTTTAATGTATGGCTATGAGTTGTTGTTATTGTTGTTTATAATGAAATTATTTATAAATAGGTAACACATGCATATGGTACACAATGTGAAAAGTAAAAAGAAACATAGACAGTGAAAAGTAAGTGAAATAAGTAGCCTCTTTCATACCCCTGTGTCCCAGCCACCCAGTAACCCACCCAGGAGACAACATCTGTTAACAGTTGCTTTTCAAATTGAAAAAATTAATTTTCACAAACCTGTGGTTTGACATGGCATCATTTCCCAGCCCATGTAAACCTGAGCCATGTTGTTATGGATTTCTACTCTCATTTTTAAATATTTCCACATAAAACATTCTTCAAAATTGAACCCATAGAAACCCATGATTTAAAAAACAGCTCATAGTACATTGTAAATGCTAACGCTTTTCAGACATTAATTGTTCAATTTAGCTAGTCAAGTTTAGTGACACAGCATATTTTCATTCTTTTACATTTTCTATTTCAATGACATCACTTCTTTTTACAATAAGGTGAAACATCTGTCTGATGAAAAATGGGCCATTATTATTCATCTTAAGCCACGAAGGCAGTTTCAGGGGAGATTTACATTTATTTCCTTTATAGTGCTAGCATAATGCATTATATAGAGTGAAAAACAAAACAAATTTTTTAAAACACAATAAATATGCTGAATAAGTAACTAAATCATGAAGAGAATAGTAGATGGTTTATTGACTAGTTCTGGAATGCAATATCCCTCGTGTTACAATCCAGGATAATGACTTTTGCACGAGGCACTTTGTTGTCAAAGTTATTCAATTTCAGATGCATCTGAGTCTTGAACTTGAAGCAACAAATATCTGAAACACTGTCAAGGACATCGTTTTCTTACATAAATATATGAAAGCATTCACCTCAGGAAAGACCACCCATTCTAGTTTCCTTGAAAACAGTTTTAGAAAAAGCAGATGGCTCTATTCAAGGTGGTAAGGGGGAGGGGAGTGCATTGCCTTTATTTTCAATAAGTCAAAAATTCTCTGGTACATACATATATTTGATGTGCAAACTTGTAATGCTCAGTCCTTTCAATGGTATCACCTTTTCCCCCGGAGTTTAGAGAAAACAAGCCACGTGTAGCTAGAAGATTATGAGTTGACTGAACCTGTCGCTGCATTGTACTGTTTATGGCATTATACTCAGGCACAGAGCATTTGCTCTCATTTTGTCACTAATTAGTATGTAATGTAACTGAATTTACCATGCATAACTTTAATTACAGGACTCCCACTATTGTGACATACTTCTAGCCTCAAGGACATGGGAATTTGGTAACAAATAGCAACTAAAGTACCATATAACAATTAAGATAGAATCTACTGCATTTTCCTTTAAAAAGAAAAAATCTTGTCCTTCAGAATATATGAAGGAAAGATTTTTTTAAATGAAATACACTATGGACTGAATTGTGTCCCCCAAAACTCACATGTTGAAGCCTTAATCCCTAATGTGATGGTTGTTGGAAATGGGGCCTTTAGGAAGTAATTAGGTTTAGATGAGGTCATGAGGGTGGGGCCATCGTGATGGCATTAGTGCCCTTACAGGAAGAGACACCAGAGAGTTTGCTCTCTCTCCTTTTCTCTGCCATGTGAGGACACAGCAAGAAGGCAGCCATTAGCAACCAGGAAGACAGCACTCACCAGCACCCAACCCTGCTGATACTGTGGATCTTGGACTTCCCCAGCCTCCAGAACTGTGAGAAAATAAATACCTGTTGTTTAAGCCACCCAGTCCATGGTGTTTTGTTACGACAGCCCAAGCCGACTAAGACAAAACGTATCGAAGAATTTGGAGATAAAACCTTAAGCGAGCCAGCACTTTATCAGTGAGGTATTACAGGAAGAGCACTGGATGGGATACAGGGGTTATGTTCGGGTATATACAGCCTGGGCTCCACGACTGACTTCACGTGGGACCCTGAACACATGGATTCCACATCTCTCTAATTACGGGACCGGATGAGCTCCTGCTACAGCCACTGTGTAGCACCACCCCCACCCCTACTCCGACCATGACTCTGCCTGGGGACTGCAGTCACTAACGACACTGCAGTAGCTAGGTGAGACAGGAGGAAATAATCACTGAAGGCAGGGAGGAGGAGAAAGACACAAAGTGCTGCATACATTACCACTCCAACATGACATATAAGGCAAGGTGCAGAAATGCGAGGAGCATTTATGAAACCTGCTTCAAAAACAGAGATCAAAATGGAATACTGTCACACCATCGCCATCTCTTTGCACTAGGGGTTAAGATGTACAAAAAGATGAAAAGAACGCAGATACAACAGAAGAAGAATGCTGCAGACACAGAAAACACAGTGGTCATTCATCTCCTTGCTACTCTTCATTATCGTGTACCATGATTTTTCCAACATAAAGTATAAGAGCAAGCATAATTGCATAGAAAAAAGAAAATGTGAGATACTAACCAAGGACACAGCAGTGCTGTCAGCAAAAAATTTGTCTTCCACTGAACACCTCGAAATGCTGAGTAAGTAAAGGACAGAAGAGTTACATTTGATTTAATCCACTTTATAAATACTTTATAGTAACCAAGATACAATTACATTTTGATCAGTCAGCTAAAATTCCGCCATGCAATTTTCTTTGGCTTTTTTTTTAACGGAGGTACTGGAGATTGAACCCAGGACCTCGTTTATGCTAAGCATGTGCTCTATAACTGAGCTATACCCAACCCCCCTGCAATTTTTGAAGTTTTTATTTTACAGCGTTTTAATTTCTACATTTAACACACCAACTTACTGGACTAATAACAGAAGGACCCATAATACAACAGCACAGGTCATTAAAGCGCCGCGATTGGCAGGGGAGAGGAAACCAAGACACACCAGAACTAAAAGCATAAAAAAGAAATATCAAACCAAATGACAATAATAGCCTCAAAAGCACAAAGGACTTAATAATAAATTGAAGATCATCTGATCAAGACATATTTTATGAAACAGTTTACAAGGAAATTCTCTGATGTCATTCACTTAGCAAATGTTCTAATGACGTCTTCTTAATGAAAAGATCTGATTTTCAATACAAGGCAAATGATATGTTTTCAATTTAGTCTTTAGTCTCACTGTTTAAGTCAAAATTAAAGAAAGTATCCCGCCTTCCCTACTCCAGTAGTCACTCCATAAACAGAAAATCATTTTCCCACAAAAATTTCCTTCCGTTTCCTTTTATTCAAGATGAGGAATATAAACATCAAAGTGAGACTTGGTCTCAGGAAAATATAACCCTCAGAGCTGAATTGTGAAATTATCACTGACATCTGAAATACCTAATAAGCCATTTTTATAGCAGCTTTGTTTGTAAAAATCACTACTCTGGTTTATCAAAAATTGACAAAATCCACTTTTAGTTTATAAATGAAGGCAGCCAGGGTTCACCAGCCATTGTAAGCCTACTAAAGATGCCATTCCACTTACACACTTAAAGACCAGCACTTAGGCTTATCATAGCATTTCAAATGCTAGTCCTTGAATTGTAACTCTCTGAGTCCACTTAAAATATGATTCTACCAAAATGCTGATTTTCAAGCAAGCATTTACTTTGCAAAGCAAGGAATACATGGACATTATAATAAATTACTCAGAATTGAAGAAGCTATGAAAGGTCCTTGATACAGGAACATATTCAGACTCAATATTCTTAATTTAAGAGGACAAAAACATAAGTACTGTAAAACACATGTTTCCTTAAACCTTACGGTAGAATTTTCAAAGTTCTTTTGTACACACGAATCAAAGTTTAACATGTGTCGGCAGTTCACTAAGAATGTTTAAGATGACACATATTGATCTGAGCCTACTCACGTAAAGTAATAAACGTCATAATCAAAACTTGTATTCCTTGACCCAGGAAAGCTGATAGCAACATTCTGCTCCTCGGAGGTCTGAATACATCCCCATGAACCAGCTTCCAACCAAATTCCTTCTGGGCATCTTCCTGCATAGGAAAAAGTCTTCAATAAATACCTGAGTTACTATGACAGAAAGTGACAAGAGCCCCAAAAGTTAGATGAAAAGGAATTTTCCTCTAAAGACAGACTAACTGGAAACCAACAGTTCATTTTGGATAGAGTAGGTCTCTGGAAGGTCTGTTATCCTGCCATACAAACTAGCTGTCCCTTTATTCTGTTTTGCATTAGACGGAGTGTGATATTATATAAAGCACACAACTGGCTTGATTTTCATTAAGAAAGCAAAACAATTTAACGTACATAAAAAAATCAACCAATTCCATCGAAATTAAAAATTCACCAATACATAAATAATTACAAGAGTCAAAACAGCGTAAATTAGATAAAACTAAATTTAACCTAAATTACAGTATTCTACAATGTTTTGTACATTTATCTCATGCTCCAAATGAATGAAAATCTTGATGATATTTTGAAACTTCAGAAACAGGAAAAGGAATGTGACCAAAGAGTTGATAGCAAATAACTCTCTAATAAACTTACGTGTACTTTTTAAGAATCCATTCAGCACTCTAAACTTTCTGATTCAGCATAATATGCAAAATTACGAAACATCAAAAATGTATTGTATTCAAGGTGTTATACTCTAAGTAGAAATATAACATTGAGAACTGGGCAAAGCAGGCACTCAAATATTTGCTGAATCAAATATGTGCATTTTTACTCACCGGAAATCTCATCTGATTATATCTGGTAATATCTTTATGGACAGTCCTTAGTGTGATCATAGCCACCATTCCAGATAAGAAGAGAATGATAACAAAGGAAAATATAAAGAAGAAAAAAGAGAGAGAAGTTAAATCTCAAGTTCCTGATTTGAACAGTAAAAAGAAAATGTGTGCACATGTGAAAAAAAGGACATGCTAATTATTCTGTCGATAAGTTTTCCAAGGCTAAACTTAGATCAGGGGCTGGATACATCAATATATTAAATAAACTTAAAGCTCTAAAGCAAAAGTGTATTACAAATAAAGCAACAGGCAGAGGGTATAGCTCAGTGGTAGAGCTCATGCTTAGCATGCATGAGGTCCTGGGTTCAATCCCCAGTACCTCCAGTAAATAAATAAATAAATACATACATACATACATAAATGTAATCATCCCCCTCCAAAAAAACACAAACAAAATAAACAAGATTTTCAATATGTTAAATAAATAAAGCAACATAAGCAACATGACTATTAAGGTTATTTTAGAACTTTTTTAAGATTACATTCCCAAAAAGAAACAAGGGTAAGTGAATAAGATCAGGAACACAAACTTAGCTCCAGAACGTGGAGCTGAGAATGGAAATTCAGGAATCAAGGCTGAATTAATGGCTGACTGACATCTAGGCTGATGGACCAAGGCTTTTAACTGGATCAAGATTCAGGGTAAAGATTCCATAGGCCACTTACCTACCAGCTCTTACTGTTTCCAAAACCGAAACTTTAAAACTATGCCTAAATCCAAATTAAGACCATTCCACCACCCAGCCAAACCCAGACACATCAAAAAATTTCACCAGAATCTATGAAAAGGCCAGCACTGTTTTACAAAGATGTCTATAAGATGATGTCTAAAATGTCTGTTAAATGTCATAAGTAAATTAGCTTGTGACAGAAACTTAAAAAGTACATTTATTGTTAGATTATAAATATTAATACCACTAGAGATTAGCCCCACAATTTATCTGGATGCCCTTCCCTTTCACAACCCCTTTGGGGAAACCATTTAAATAAATTTTATCTGAAGAGAGTTCAGGGCCAGGGTAACAAAAATGGGACCTGGACTATTGCCCAAACAGATTTTCTGGAAAAGCTACAATATGATAATATAACAATGAGGAGGATGAGAATGAGGTAGAGGAGGAATAAGAACAGAAGTAGGAGCAGAAGGAGTGAATGCTATTCTCATTTTTTAAAATTTTTTCCTGGTCTTTTTTACATATTTTTTAAATTTTATTTGGGTTTTTTCCCCCTTAACAGAGGCACTGGTGATTGAACCCAGGACCTTGTGCACGCACGCCAAGCACGTGCTCTACTGAGCTATAATCCCCATCTCCCCTCATTTTAATATATATTTTTTTCTTTTCAAGGGGAGGGTAATTAGGTTTATTGATTTATTTTTCAGTGGAGATGCTGGGGATTGAAACCAGGACTTCATGCATACTAGGCATGCACTCTACCACTGAGCTATATCCTCCCCTCCCCCATTTTAAAGGCAATGGTTATGTAAGGAAAAACATCACTCCAGAAGACCATACTCATAGTGTCACACCTTGCCTTACTTTCATCTTTACCTTTATAGCCTTTTTCTACCCCAAATTGCTGTATTACAGGATGGGAGGATACCAGGGAACAAAATACTATGTATACAGGTTCATCTCTCTTTTATCAGCTTCTCTGATCAGTCTCCTAAGTTACTAACTGAACATCCTACTGCCACTCTCCCCAGTCATTACGTTCTCAGTTGGTCCATCCCTCAATTTCATGTTGAAATGACTCCTTCCACAACCATAAGGGATTCTGTGCTTTGAGCCTGTTGAAGATTCTTGAGGAATCAAGTCCTTTTGCTCAGAATCCACTAAGCACATAAGCTTCATGCAGGCGGCAGCCTGTCTGCCTTACTCATCACCATGTCTCGGAGCCTACCCTTGAGCTTGGCATCCATCATAATAGGGACTAAAAGAATACATGTAGAATGAATGGTCCTTCACTCACAGACATTATCGCAACACAATTCTCTCATCTATATGATGGCCTCGATAAAATGACCACTTGCAACGTTTTGGTTTCTCGTACATCATCTTTTCAACTTTCCCTGCTCTCTTCCCAGTCTTTCATAACATCCTGGCTTTCTTCCACCCCAGCTGGTTACTGCTTTTCCTACACTCTAGTTTGCTCAGACTTTCTGACCCCATAAATGAAGGCTTCTGTCCTGTTTCTCTTCCATCTTCTGCAAACTGTCCACTTCCACAGACAGATTCTGCCGACTTCCCACCATGCACTATTCTTTCTCTACAACATCTCAGCCTTCTCTTTCCCTTCAGCATAAACATAAGTTTATTTAAAACACATTTTCCTTTTTTCTTTTTCTTTGTGTATATGAAGAAGTGGGAGAGAGGAAGGAGGGGGAAATTAGCCACAGAGAAGAAAAAATGTCACTCAAGATCATCTCTGATAGGGGGTGGGAGGAAGGGGAGATGGATGAAGGAAGTGAAAAGGTATAAACTTGCAGTTACAAGATAAATGAGTTGGGTGTAGCTCAATGGTAGACTTGTGCTTAGCATGCATGCGGTCCTGGGTTCAATCCCCAGTACCTCCATTAAAATAAAAAAAGAAAGAAGATAAATGAGTACTAGGGACATAATGTACAACATGGCAAATATAATTAGCACTGCTGTATGTTACATATGAAACTTGTTAAGAGAGTAAATCTTGAGTTCTCATCACAAGAAAAAATTTTTTTCTATTTCTTTAATTCTGTATCTGTGTGAGATGACAGATGTTCACTAAACTTATTCTGGTAATCATTTCGTGATGTATGTAAGTCAAATCATTATGCTGCACACCTTAAACTTATTCAGTGCTGTACACCAATTACATCTCAATAAAACTGAAAGAAAAAAGATTATCTTTAGTGACAAAATAATTTTTAAAATATATATATGTATATATACATACATTTCCCACCCTGAAGCTATTCATTCTATTTTTTTTTCTGATGAGGAGGTAATTGGGTTTATTTATTTATTTATGTTTGGAGGAGGTACTGGGGATTGAACCTGGGACCTCATGCATGCTATGCATACCTCTACCGCTTAAGCTATACGCTCCCCCCTCATTCTTTATTTCATAAAGTGCTTACCTGAACCACTGAATGTTGGTTTCAGGCATAGACTCCAAAACATAATTCCATCTAGAGCCTGACTTGTTATTTGTATTTTCCTAAAAACAAAACCACAAAATCACATGACCAAACTTTAACTGGCCTTTTACTAGTTAGTTATAATCCTAAAACAGAAAGTTATTCTGTCTGTACTTTCTCCATTTCTTTACTGCTAACTTCATGGAATCATACAATCTAGCCTAATACTTATCTTACTTTTATTTACTGATATTCTACCTCATTTCAGACAGGGACTAGGAAAAAAATAATTTAGCTTACTGCTGTTCACCAGAAATAGCACCTTTTTGCTACTATTTTTCAGTAACCCTAAATCCACCCCATCCTTCATTTCCTTTTGTCTAGATCACATTTTTTAACATTTTTTATTGATTTATAATCATTTTACAATGTTGTGTCAAATTCCAGTGTAGAGCACAATTTTTCAGTTACACATGAACATATATATATTATTTTTATCTCAATTGTAACTTCATAGGATACTTGCAAAGGTACTCAAAGATATATATAATGAGGGTCACTAAAGTTTTGTTTGTAAATTTAAAAACCTAGGAACAACCAAAAACTCACATCAGAATGGGAATAAATAAACTATGGTAATCCATATTAAGAAATACCATGTAACTATTAAAAAGAATGGAGTGCATCTATAGGTGATGATATATGTCTATGAAATAGAATTAAGTGAAAAAAAAAGATGAAAAGTATATAGTAAGATAAGTATGTACAGCAAAATTCCATTCCTCCCCAAAATACATACGTATCTTGTAGGTGCAAGTATCTTTCTGGGAGAATAAATAATGTTTATATTTTTGGAGGGAGAGACTAGAAATTGGGGGGAGGGTAGTAATGGAAGGGGGAATTTTACTTATATATTTTCTATATGGTTTGAAGTCTTTACCATATACAAGTATTATCAATATTATTATTTAAATTGAACTAAAAGACAACTTGCTTCACTGCAATCCACCAAATGATGTATCTCCTGCAAACAGGTTTTTTACTAAGGTATGTTGTTTAATTAGAAAATAATATTCAATTTCAGTAATTATTTCTTATTCAATATTCTAACATTTTACATTTTTATATTTTAACTATTTTGAAATATTTTAGCAATAAGTTTATAAAAGATGTTTTTGATATTATAGTTCTTAGTACTGACTAAAACACAAGAAAATATAATCACCAGCTGTTTCTGCTGTGTGATCAAACTCAATCTTTCAATAGCTTTCCTATAAAATATCCCCAATAAATGAAGATCTTAAATGATAATCCCCAATGAACATTTAAACCACTAGTGCAGTATGACTGCCCCTCAAAATAATGGCATGCTCTTAGCAAAAGGAAAACACTAATACAATGGAATAAAGACAGTCTCTTCAGCAAATGGTGTTGGGAAAACTGGACAGCAGCATGTAAAACAATGAAGCTAGAACACACCCTTACACCATACACAAAAATCAACTCAAAACGGATCAAAGACTTAAACATAAGACAAGATACAATAAACCTACTAGAAGAAAACATAGGCAAAACATTATCTCACATACATCTCAAAAACGTTCTCCTAGGGCAGTCTACCCAAGCAATAGAAATAAAAGCAAGAATAAACAAATGGAACCTAATGAAACTTACAAGCTTCTGCACAGCAAAGGAAACCATAAAGAAAACAAAATGACAACCTACGGAATGGGAGAAAATTTTTGCAAATGATGAAACTGACAAAGGCTTGATCTCCAGAATATATAAGCAGCTCATACGACATAATAAGAAAAAAGCAAACAGCCCAATCCAAAAATGGGCAGAAGACCTAAACAAGCAATTCTCCAAGGAAGAAATACAAATGATCAATAGGCACATGAAAAAATGTTCAATATCACTAATTATCAGAGAAATGCAGATCAGAACTACGATGAGGTATCAGCTCACACCAGTCAGGATGGCCATCATTCAAAAGTCCACAAATGACAAATTCTGGAGAGGCTGTGGAGAAAAGGGAAACCTCCTACACTGCTGGTGGGAATGCAGTTTGGTGCAGCCATTGTGGAAAACAGTATGGAGATTCCTCAAAAGACTAGGAATAGACTTACTGTATGACCCAGGAATCCCACTCCTGGGCATATATCCAGAAGGAACCCTACTTCAAAAAGACACTTCCACCCCAATGTTCATAGCAGCACTATTTACAATAGCCAAGACATGGAAACAGCCTAAATGTCCATCAACAGATGACTGAATAAACAAGGTGTGGTATATTTATACAATGGAATACTATTCAGCCATAAAAATGACAACATAACGCCATTTGCAGCAACATGGATGTCCCTGGAGAATGTCATTCTAAGTACAGTAAGCCGGAAAAAGAAAGAAAAATACCATTTGAGATCGCTTATATGTGGAATCTGAAAAATAAAAAAATAAAAAATAAAGAACATAAATACAAAACAGAAACAGACTCATAGACATAGAATATAAACTTCTGGTTGCCAGAGGGGAGAGAGGAGGGAAGGGACAGACTGGGAGTTTGAAATTTGTAGATACTGACAGGTATATATAGAATAGATAAACAAGATTATACTGTATAGCACAGGGGAATATATACAAGATCTTGTGGTAGCTCACAGTGAAAAAATAATGTGACAATGAATGTATATATGTTCATTTATAACTGAAAAATTGTGCTCTACACTGGAAATTGACACAACATTGTAAACTGACTATAACTCAATAAAAAATGTAAAAAAAAAGGAAAATACTAGTACAAATTGATGAAGTTATGTGTGAAATGACATTCTTTAAAACTGGGTATCTTCAGGTGTTTTTCTGAAGTTTGGGGGTGGGTATGAAGAAAGTCAATGTACACTGCTTTTTAAAAACCTGAAATAAGATATTTTAATTAAACTGAGTCTTAATTCAACAATAGATTTCAGTTGACAAATGACCCGGTGATCATGGTTAACATTCTCAATGAAAGGTCAAATTGACATTATGTGCCTACTGATGTGAGGTATCACTTTTGCGGTACTCCTGCTGAGAATACATGGCCTGAGCCTGATCAGGAAGGACCATCAGACAAACCTAGGTTGATGGTCAGCCTACAGAATATAAGGTCTATACTCTTCAAAATTTTCAAGAATATGAAGCACAAGGAAAGACTAAAAGAACTGGTCCAGATTGGAGCAGACCAAGAACTAAACATATCACCTATCCTGGATAGGATCGTGAAGCAGAAAGGGAATAAGTGACGTTGTTGGCCAGCTGGTGAAATCCAAATGGATGGATGTGGATCAGATGGTAACGTAATACCAGTATTGATTCCTCGTTTGGACGGTTGTATGCTAATTATGTAGGAGAGTGACCTTGTTTTAGGGAAAGATACTCTGGAGGGTTTAGGGGTGATGAGACATCTAGCTCTCAAAAGATTCAGAGAAAGACTAATGAAAATGGACATACACAGCAAAGAGTGAACAATGGAGCAAATGAAGTAAAATGTTAACAATTGGGGCATCTGGTTAAAGGGACTATGGGAGTTCTTTGTGTTATCTAAGAAATTCTTCTGTGGTATGAAATTGTTTCAAAATAAATTATTTTTTAAAATCTATAAGAAAATCTGAATTTATAGAACTGATAAATCCAGGGATAAATATTCACTGCAAGAAAGGATTTATCTTACCCATTTAATTAAAATATTGTTCCTATAGTAAAGTGTGACTTAATTTGTCAAAATTTGAATTACATGCATATCTTCACCAGACCATCCATTGTCTTAAGCAAATTAATTCACATGCAACCTTTTAAAAAGGAGCAAAATAAATAAGGGAAAGTAAGAGGCACAAACTTCCAGTTGCAAAATAAATGAATCACCAGTACGAAATGTACAGGGTGAGGACTATAGTCAATGATTATGTAATATCTGTGAATGATGACAGATGGTAACTAGAGTTATCATGGTGATCATTTTAAAATGGATAGAAATATTGAATCACTATGTTGTGTAGCAGGAACCAACATAGTGTTGTAGGTCAATTACACCTCAAAAACAAATAAAAATAAACTCGTAGAAAAAGAGATCAGATTTGTGGTTACCAGAAGTGGAGAATGGGGAGAGAAGGAATTGGATGTAGGTGGTCAAAAGGGTGAAACTTGCAGTTATAAGATAAATAAGTACTAGTGATATAATGTACAACATGATACATATAATTAACACTGCCGTATGCTATATATTAAAGCTGCTAAAAGAGTAAATCCTATGAGTTTTCATCACAAGAAAAATTTTTTTCTATTTCTTTAATTTTGTATCTATATGAGATGATAGATGTTCACTAAATTTATTGTGATAATCACTTCATAATGTATGTAAGTCAAATCATCATGCTGTCCATCTTAAACTTATAGTGCTGTATAGCAATTATATCTCAATAAAACTGGAAGGAAAATTTTTAAAAGCTGGAAGAAAAAATAAAATGTAAAACAAAAAGGAGAGACACTTTCAAATATGCACTATGAAGTTTGGATTTTAAATACAAAGAGCCTAGAAAAACTAGTTGTTAATCAAGTGGGTTTTGCACCAAACATTGCCATCTGCTGGAAATAACAGTCCACAACACATACTACTCCCTAAGAAAAAGAGAAATTATTTTAAAATCCGAAGGCACATTTGAGACAAAATGACAAACGCAGAAAGATAAGTGGTGGGGCCAATTTTTAAAATTCATTTAAAATTAATGAATCATTCTGCATCTTTACATCCCAGAGTTTCAAAATCTTTTGTAAGACATAGCAATTCTCATAAAATCATACGAGGCAGTCTTCAATGCTGTTTATAATGAAGTCATAAGAAGCAAAGGTAGAAATATAGACGAGACTTCTTGACTCAGGACACAGTACATGACAGGTTTCACTCAGGAAAAATGCATGCAGGGAATCAAAGCATCAGGCTCACCGGCAACTAGAGATTCTTCTAGTCTAGTTGTTTTCAACAGGGAGAGCAGCACCCTCTAGGGGCATAATGAAAAAGTGTGAGGATGCTACTGGTACTCGG